AAGAGAGATTTGCAATCTCTTCAGATAATTTCTATAGCATAAAAGCTTTTTTATTAATCGAATTTTAAAATTTTAAGGTGGATGATGCTACTGCTGCAAGGCCAGATGATATGCCGAGTACATCGAGTGAATGTACGAGTTCCATCCAGCAAGGTGATGAAGCTACTGACGAAGAGAAAGCTTTTATCGATGAAGTACATTTTTCCTATCAAATCTTTACCTGTCTTACTAATGAAAAGAATTGGAATTAATTGCAAACTCGAAGAATTGAAATTTTAGAATTAATTAGTTGAATTTGTTTCTGATCATGAAAATTGTTGTTTCTCCACTGATTACTTGCCAATTTATTTCAAGATATTACCGCTTTGTGGATCATTTGAGCCTGTCGATTACACCGATCCCGCCTGGTATTACAAACTTAAAAAGACCGTAAGTATTTTGTTCAATTAATTTCCCTTTTTCTATTAAATTAAATCCGATCAAGAATTTAATCAAACAATTTTAAAGCAGGACAAAATTATTGTAAATGCTTTAGGCAAAAAAATGCCGATCTATTAACTACTCAATTGATTGTAAATTAAACGAGGTGAATTTAATTGTCTGACGTTAGTAAAATCCTTTGTTCGCGCGATATTCTATTGTGCTATCATTAGCTGATAATTAGGCGGAAATGGTTTAATTGGCTAATGTTCATTTTGCGCTCAGAGCAATCTTTTTGAATAATAATCGTTTACATTCTCAGTGCTTTTCATATCGTTTTACTTTTCACATGAACTTTCGCAAATTTGTTTTGCAACAAAAGTAGAAAGGAAATTTTTAGTGATTTCTTCAAAAATTTCCGATTTTAGATCTTTTTACGAGCCCATGAGCTGGCAGAGAAGAATCAGAATGCAAGGTCAAGGGGTGACGAATTACGAAAACGTAATGAGGAACTTCGAAGTTTGCATGGCAGTATCATTTTACAAGATGTGACCAGTGAGCCTCAATATTCATTTGATCAGGTCTTTAATTTCTTCTCATGAATTTACGAGAATTTTTTACGGAATATCAAATTTATGACAATTGTTTGAAAAATATTCGACACAGATCACTTTCAGATTATCACAGATCCTAACACTGATGATTTGGGTCCTCAATTCCAAGTTTTCCCAGGTGCCAGCCTTGAGGAATTGAATGCACAGTTTCCAATTTTCCCGGACCCTAGTATTGAGGATTTGAATGCTGAGTTTCAACTTCTGTCAGATCCCATCGCTGAGCATCTGAACTCTGAACATCAAGGTTTACCACATGGTAGCGATAAAAATTTGGATCCTCAGCAACCAAAATGGTTTTAGCTTTGTTCACTCAGGAGATCACGTGTTTTGTTTAAGTAAGTTTGATTTCAATAATGAATAAATTCTGTTGTACAGCTAACAAAATAATATTGAGCATATTTTAATTCTCATTGAATTTATATTGTCGCTTAGAAAAGACAAAAGAAATCACACAGTTTCTTCGATCACATAGTTTTTTTTTCGGATACTTCAAATTATATTTTCAAAATAAATAAAAAGTCGTTACAAGTGTTTCTGTTATACGGAGTATGTCATATTTGTAGAGCATTTTAACATAGATTACAAATTTGAATCTTTTTTGGATACAAGTAAATTTGTTTTGAATGAAACATTTTTCTTTTGGATGAAATAATTTATCTAAAATGATTTTAAGAACAGAAGATGCAAACTACAATTTTAGGGATCGAATTTTTGGGAGTGACATAGTAAAGAAATGACGGTATTGTTTGTATTTCAGTAAAGAGAAAATAGTCGAAATTTTATTCAATCTTTCATTTTGTTTTGGAATTTATACAGCCTTCGTCACACACTCGAGGAAACTTACATTTTCACTGTTGTATTTTTATATTTAAAATTATCATTGTTGTACTTTTATACTTAACATTTAAACATTTCTCCATTTCTCTTTAGATTAAATAATTCATTGCACAGTTTTTAAAATTTTCTCGTAGATTACTTTAGCTATTAATTGTACCTCTACGAATATAGCAAATTTTGTATGTCATATTCTCGTTATAACACTCAGTTCTTTTATCAGTTCATTCCATCTACTATTTTGTACTCTGTGACGATAGTGAGAGCCTGAAGTATTTGGCAGCAAATTTGACTTCTTTCTCGTATTAACTTTTTAACGAAGTACTGTTATTATTTTCTACTTCTAATTGATATTGTTCAGATTTTCAACAATTACAAATGCATTCCAACAGATCCCGAAATTAGAGGAAATATTTTTACGGAATTTATTTTGAATACAATTTTAATATGGAAAATTTGAAATTTTTAGTTCGTATACGGTTACGGAGAATTATTTAAAAAATTTTTCAAGTCACTTGCTTTCGATGCTTTTGTGTTGTTTTTTAATGTCTTTTGTAGGACCATCAGCGAAAATAATCATTAATTCCATTGTCATAAAGATTATGAAGTTTACAAAATTTCGAGTAAATTATTTTATCATAGCACAGCACATCCAAACCATATGGCGATCGGCTAGTGCGATAATTTCAATTTATCAGAACAAAAATACTGGAAAACAAAACATAAAAGGTGGTCAACGAATTCCAACATTGAAGATATGAGAAAGGCGGGTCTATCGCTTTTAAATTTGATGAAATGTTGAAACAAAAGAGCTCTCTTCAAGTTAATGACTGTAAACCTCTTGAATTCCTGATATATTTGGAGAAAGCAAACTCTAGCTAAATGAATTTTAAGGACTGCTTCATTTCCCTGCACTTTCTTCGAAAAGTTTAGATATTTCAGCTTGCTTTGGACTATTCGAATAATCAGGTTTCAATCTTCTTTCCATTTGCTCACCATACGGATTGAATCCAAGTCGTTCCATTTCAGCCTGCAATTAGTGCAGTACATTTCTATGAGAGCAGAAATTTTTGCAACAAAAACCGATATATCGTTTTCATAGTAAATGCACTGTCCTGGGCACACATTATCATGGGACATCAAGAAACGATAGTTGAAAACATTTGAAGAAAGAAAACAGTGCAAACCTTCATCGCTGCTTTCATAGCCTTCTTATCTTTCTCAGCTTCTGTTCGTGGTGGATGAAGTTTGGTAAAAACACCAGTTCCAATTGTAACTGGATCCTTACGAATCGTGAATCGTTGCTGCGGTTCGATAAACTGCACTGCACTCATATGCAGCTCAACCCTAAAACACGCGGAAATAATAATGGTCCTGATTTTTTTTTCAAATTGTCAACAGCAAATGTTATCTAGCAAATGAAAGAATCAAAGTCAGTAGAGAATTTAAAAAACATACTCTCCCACTTCTCCAGGCATAATGAAGTCTTTGCCTTTGATTTTGACTACTGCTCCGCAGTCCCATGTTAACGAAAACAGATGTTCAGTGAAATAGTTTGCAATTGGCATCTTCGTACCTCCTTCTTCTGGTTTCAATATGTACAACTGAATGACAGAAATAATGAAATGAAATGTAATGAATATTTCACGATATTACTGATCAATCAAGTTTTGACATGAAGCTTTTGAAGAATTTCAGACCAAAAACTAAAGAAAAATAGTCTTTTCCGTACATATTGCTCTGTATGAGCTTTGACTGGTAATTTTTCAGCAGGGAATAAATGATTAATACAGTTAGAAAGATTTCTTTAGTTATAAAGTATTCTGATACAGCGCACATCAATTATGACTGAATTGATGAACAGTGTATCGAAATCAGTCGTAAAAAAACCTTACCTGAGCTTCCACTTTGTCAGTAGGAACATGTTTATGCTCTTGGGGTAAAAGTACACTCCCACGTCGTACCGCTTTACTTTCTACACCCCTCAATAAAATTCCAAGCTGATCACCGGGTTCTGCCACATCGAGCGATTTCCTGAATGTTTCAAGACCTGAAAATCCAACACGAATTCAAAATAATAAGAGGTTGATGAATTTTCATAGAAACAATGGTAAAGGAAAAAGTTGTAATGGCAAACCAAAATAACTTACTAGAAACTACCGATTTAACAGGTTCTTTTCCTGCACCAACTATTTCCACTTTATCTCCTTTTTTCAAAGAACCTCTTTCCAATTTGCCGGTTATAACAGTACCACGGCCTAAAATTCAATTTAAAATGAACATACTTGTTATCTTACTAGAAACTCAATGTGGTGAGTGAAAGCCACATGAGAATTTAATCCAAACACTTCAACAAAATGGATTAAAAGTGAAAAATAAACAAACTGAATTGGGAAAAAAATATATCAATCACGCTTTTGCAATGATGTTAATACGAAGAAATTAGGAGACACATTTTATTATTTGATTAGGTATACTACCATCTAAAAAAACAATTACCTTTGATTGCATAAACGTGTTCGGCAGGGAACATAACTTCTGTATTCTGATGACGTTCTGGAATAACAAATGAGTTATCAAGAATATCCAGAAGTTTCCAGATTGACTTTTCTCCTATTTCTGGATTCTTCTCTTCTAAAGCACAAAGCGCTGAACCGAAAACAACCTAAAATTACACTTCATATTAAGCTCAGTTGATAAAAAGTCACTATAGTTGTCTAATCATTAAATAATTCGCTTTCAAAAACTGTGCATTACATTTCTCAAAAAAATCTACTGTTGCTAAAATATTCTTAAATTTATTCTAGTGTTAACAGAAAACATTAGACACCAAATCTGCACATAACTGTGCAGCACATAATGAAATATTTCAATATAGACTTGAAGATTATTCTCAAAAAAATGCATAAAATAACCGGTGATTCAGATGGATAGCTAAGCTCTGATAGGAGTTCACGAATCTCCATTTCAACTAATTCATGTGTTTCTTTATCCGGCACTTCATCGACTTTATTCAAATACACAGCAATATTTTTTAGAGGAATACCAACTTGTCGAGCGAGCAGTAAATGCTCTCGAGTCTATAAAAATCATTTAATTTATAAAAGACTCATTTCTTTTTTGCACTGCATACAACAATAAATGTTTCGTTATTTTTCTAAAGTTCAAAAAAATAGTTCTCGAAACTAATTATAGCGAATTAAAAGCTAACTTGTGGCATAGCTCCTTCAGTAGCAGCTACCACTAAAATGGCGCCTTCCATCTGAGCTGTACCAGTAATCATATTTTTGATATAATCTGCATGGCCTGGACAATCGATGTGAGCGTAGTGCCGTTTCTCCGTCTCGTATTCCAAATGAAATGCATTAATAGTTATGCCTAAAATCATTCAAATAAATATATTTTAACACTTCTTGCAGTCTTTAATTTTAGTTACGAAGACATAATTTCTTTCAATTCTTTTGAAATATTAGTTGTAATAAGAGGGAATAATCCAAGAAGGAAATATATACAAGTGTAGTAATAGCCATTCAAAGGCTCTAATGCATTTCAGCGTGACATCCCGAAATAACAAGTTACAGAATCCAGAAGTCAATATGTTTTTCCGACGGAGCGTTTGTATGATTAATAGCAAAGAGTAATACAAAACAGAAAACAGACAAGATTCCAGTATGATTGAATTATGAAGGAAGAGCACAAAACCAAAATCAATCTATAAACACAACATACCGCGAGCTTTTTCCTCAGGTGCATTGTCAATTTCCTCGTATTTTCTAAATTTCGCGCCCTTTTTTGATGCCAAAACTGGAAAACTTCGAAAGTAAATTCAAATGTGACAGAAAAAGTCAATCAAATACTATCAAAAAGTAAACTTTAAATGTAAACATGAGCTTAAACCTTTGGTAATAGCCGAAGAGAGTGTAGTTTTGCCATGATCCACATGTCCAATAGTACCAACATTAAGGTGAGGCTTCGTTCTCTTGTACACTTGCTTTGTTCCTGGAACAGCAAAGCATCGAGCATGTTGTACTTGAGCCAATTTCGTCAAGAAATTCTCGCGAAAACCTCCTGCAGCGCCCACTGTCTCTGCAACACAATAATCAGATTTATCATCAAAAGCAAAAATGGAAGCAGATATGATTACAAAAATTTAACACCATTCTATCGTTCTGTTGCTTTCAATTATTTCGCAGATAATATGCAAGGAATCATAACAAATTGTTCCATTAAAAACAAAAATGTGAGAAAGAGAGGCGAAAAATGGAAGAAAGAATATTTTATACGGCTATTTCGTTACTTCTATTTTTAAAAAGGATACAGCATCTGGAATGCTAGTAATTTAACCTAGAAATGAGGAAATGTGACACTTACTGAAGCTTGCTAGCATAGATCGATTACATACGGAGTACGCCAACATGACTTCTTCACACAGCTGAAAATCGGTACTGATTTGCCTACCAGTAGCCTTCCAAATGGATGCCACCAACTGAACTGGAAGTCAAACAAGTTAAATTACAAGCAGTGACCGTGCCAGCTTATAACCAACTGAAAAAGCTTCGCCGTTATTTTTTGCCATAGGATTCCCCGAAGGATGAGTAGAGCGGGGGAGTGTCTTGGATTTTCTCGAGAGTTAGTGAATAGTAGTAATGGATGCGGATATCACCAGTCCTATTGCTCCTGTTAACAACCTGAGATGTAATCTTTCAGTCCATCATAGTATCACGATTTCTTGCGGACTCGTTACAATACAACTCTTTAATATTTGCAATATCTTCTTAGTAAAAATGGCTGATATATTAGTAATTTCGCGTTGTTTCAAAGTTTTCCTGATAATACTAATCAGTTCACATTTAATTTCAGATTTTATTAGGAAAGAATGGCAGAATTGGATTATTTATTTCTGGGATCTGTTGGTTTCTTGATGACAGCACTTATGCTTATTATCTTACGCGTTATTAAATTATACTTTGATGAGAAACGCGCTCGACAACGTAAGGAAGCATTACGCGCAATGGCAACTGACGAACATGTCGTAAGAAATGAGCATGATGTTGTTGGTAAAATTTAGATTATTATAAAGCCAGTAAGAATGATCTGAAATATTTCGAAAATTATGATGACATTTTTTCTTCCTTTTTTAATCAGTTTGAAATTGGATGTAAAATGGTTCGGAGCAGTTTCTTCTACAGTTTTAAAATATGTGTTGCCGGGTCTTTTCACCGAACGAAATTCATTTCGGACTGTTAAATAATCAGTTTGCGAGAAATTGCAGTGGTTGGTGGACGACGTGTACAAACAGTGCGTCGAAGAGTACGTCAAGATATGATTGCTAACAATGATAGTGATATGGGTTTCGCAAGAAGTGCTATCAACCAAACTGGTGACGCTTCTGAACTGGGTAATTTCAACATTTTATTAATTGACAAGTAGACTTTCTGAATTGAGCATCTGTTAGCAATTAGTGATTATAATTACTCTTTGAATAAATGATTTTTGTTAATGTCAAAACAATATAAATCTGAGAACTGGTCATTCTCAATGATCTGATAACTTTTTAACTGTTAAAAAAATGAAATTCATGTAATATTTACAGAAGAAGATGAGTCACTGTTAGCTGAGCTAGCTAAAGATGAACATTTTGGCAAGAAAAAGTTGGCAAAACTTCAAGCCAAAGAAGAACGGCGGAAGCAAAGAGAAGCTGTAAGTTTGCTTAGTCTTGGTTATTGTATTTTAGAACAGTGTATTTACCTCCGATTTTTATTTTTGTTCAGGAACTGTTGGAACGACAAGAACGAAAAAAATTGGAGCAAGAAAGAGAAGAACGTCTGCAGAAAGAACGTGAAAAACAGATGGAGGAAGAGGAAGAAGAGCGTAAAAGGAAACGTCAGGAAAGAAAAGAGCGTGAAAAACGAGAAGAAGAAGAGTATAGAAAGGTCCGTCTAAATTATAGAGTTCTGAGTTCAGATGTTATAATTTTAACTTAAATAACAAACTTTGGCTTTGTCTACAACTTGTGCTGTTTGGTAAATCGAGCATATTCCAATTTCGAGAAAAAAATTCTAGCTTCGGGAAACTTTTGCGGTTGATGAAGAAGGATTCGACCAAGTTGATGGAGAGGAGTCACAGAATCTTCTGCGCGATTTCGAAGAGTATGTTCGCAAGACTAAGGTATCATCAAAATTTTTTTTATTTTTCAAGCAAACTAGTACTAAATGGAGATAAAGATGCCAGATGGAGTTAGTTGAATCTGAAATCACACTTTTTCTTAATACAATAATTTTTCCTTTTCCTAATATTGTCGACTGCCATATCTTAATGAGTTAGATCAGATCTGAGAATGTCATTCTATTTCTCAAGAGTGTAAAGAATTCGTTCATCGATATTATGAGTTTAAGTAAGATATATATTAATAGCAAAATGATTTGTGAGAGAACTGCCATTCAGATGTGCGATAATAAAATGGAATAGGAAAGTATCTGGAAAAGAATCTGCAGTGGTGTTGTTCTGCGCTAATACTTTATACTACTATTTCATTGTAAATAGTTATAGATGTTCGAGAATAGAAATTGTTACTGTCTTTATAGGTTGTCAATATAGATGAATTGGGTGCTCATTTCAATCTATACGCAGAAGATGCAATAGATCGGCTTAACTTCTTAGTTAGCAATGGCAATTTAACAGGAGTGATGGACGATCGCGGGAAATTTATTTATATTACTTCAGATGAACTTCAAGCTGGTTAGCAAGTATTTTAGTTCAATTTCGTTATCATTATTAATATCGAAGCATTCCAGTGTATATAACTTATGTTTCAAAGTTAGAAATAAAATGTTAATAAGTAAAACAGAAATAAGTTTTTGTCGTAGTGTTGCTTTCTTATTCAAAGGCATTTAGCAATACTAGCACTTTGTAATTTAACCAAAAATTGGTACATTTTTATAGCCATACTTCTACTAAGATGTTATTTTCAGTGGTAAAATTTATCAACCAGCGTGGTCGAGTGTCAAAAGCAGAATTAATTGAATATAGCAATAAGTTGATTGCATTAGAATCACGATCTGTGGAGCATATGCAGGAAGTGACAGCATCATAAGGTGTCTCTTTACTTTTGATTGTCGAAAACTTTATAACATTTCGATTGGATTTTTAATTTTTGCAGAACAAGTTATAATTGGTTTCTCGGTTTCACCAAGTGTAGCGATGAATGGGTCAATGCAGATGTTCAAAAAGCACTTGAATTTCGTTTTAGATTTGAACTCATACAAATATAAATTGTACGGTTGTTAGAATTAAAAATTAAAAATTGCATTAAAAAATTAAAAAATTGCAGGCGAATTAGTAAGTATTGTAAACGTTTTACTTAAAATTTTAAAGCATGTATTCCACAGGATTTTTCTGCTCGCCTAAGAAGCATAATTTAAATGGGAATAGGAGGCGGACGTGACCCGATACTTACACCCAAAAACCCTTGCAAAAAGCATTAACATGCGATCTTTTGAGTGCGAAAATTTGTATGGCAACTGTGTCCATATTGTTAAGGTCTACTTCGACAGAGAGCTTATCAATTCTTAACTCCTGGAAGTTACTGAATCATTAAAGGAATGAAACAGGAAATACCGTGAGAGTCTATCAGCATGATTAGATGCTATATTTATGTATATAAATCTCCTACATGTTGGCTAAACGGTTCGTAGCGCACGGTATCTTTCGTACATATTGTGATATTGCAATGTGCAAAATTACTTTGCATTATATAGTAATTTTTTATTCCAAAGTATTATTCTAATCCTTGCTAATAAGTAAAAAATTGTTTTGAATCTGGTGACTTCAGATTATTCCATTCTATTCCTTGACACTGCTCCACATATATACTGTAAATTTTGAATTTGAATAAAGCAATGTCAATTTTACTTTTGCCACATACTGCGAATGACTTTCTCGCTGTTGAAGTTCAAAATGAAATATTATCGGCATCTTCAAGTGCTGATGCCTACATGCCATATTCCATATGCTAGTGCATACGCCCGTACTTTTGGAGGAAAACTGTACTTTCAAAATACATTCTCTAGCTTAATTTGCTCTCTGGATGGTACTAGAAAGTTTATTTTTCAAAAACAAAAGAATGTGAGAATAGGTGTAACAAATTGCAAAATCGTTTCAGATGACTATATCAATAACAAAAGTTTGCAGAACCGCTGTGAAATTACAGGATTGGGGATGTAAACCACTTAACCTTCAAATTACAATTCGGGTCAGCCATTTTACCACTACTGTATTGCTGTGGATGTTCATAAAAATCTCAACTGCTTTCTACTTTTTTTGGTTAATGAGTGATAGAAAAGAAACAATAGAACAAGAACAAATAATAAGCCATTTAAGAACGACTGCGCCGACGTCGTGGACTGCGGCTTCGAGATCGATTGAAGCGACTTGGTCCTAATGGTACCATGTTTCCACCCGTTCCGTGTGCGCGAGGTGGACTACGGTATCTACGTGGCGAGAGACCACGAAACCTAAATTTTTTTTTCATCTTGAAAAAACCGCAATACAATAAAATATTCAATATCCAACTTAAACGATGGACATCTATCAGTAAAGCCCACGTTATGCGCATGGTTATCTACTCAACGACAGCAAGTCAGCCGGAAAAATATTCAAAAGGATTAATCTATTGAATGGATCAAGTGATAGTTGGATCATTTTTCCTTAGCTAATCAGCACGCGGTAGTATCTTTTTGATATCTGTGACCGCCAAGGATATTTCTAAGTTTTGAAAAATATCATTGCTAGTATTTCCAACCTTCTGAGATCTCTCTTGAATGATGAAAAAATTTACCGAAGTGGTGAAAGCGGGCGTCTTCCACTTCCATTAAGAGTGGAACGAGGTGGGTGTGTAAGTTCGCAAGTGACTTCCTGACCATCAATCTGCCCACCGTCCATGTGTTTCAACGCTTTCTCTGCATCTTCCGGTTGTTCGAATTCTACGTATCCATATCCTTAAAATATATAATATCAAATTATGCGAAATAACACATTTGAAGCAGAAATCTTTGTTACATTGGTCATCGAATAAAGTTAATGGATACGAAACATCCCAAGATCAAATTCTACTCTTTAAAAACAGTACACTAGGACCAAGAACGGGACTTGGAAAAAAAGTTACTACTGTACCATGTATAGGCGTCAACTTACAATATCTTTCCAAAGCTCAGCCAAAACCGATTGAGCTAAGTTGTGATATGAAGCTGAAAAAAGATAAAAACCTCTGCCAAGATGCGTATGTTGTCGATCCATAGGTAATTCACAACTTTTTAAACTTCCGTAAACACTAAAAATTTCTGACAAGTGTTCCTTTGTAACATTGCGGCTCAAATTACGCACACATAGACGACGGGGTGGTGGTGTTGCTTTGCGGATTGGACTTGCCTGAAAATGACTCTTTTGTCATGTTTATCAAGCAGACAAAACGATACTTTAAAGTTTATGATATAATTAAAGACAAACTGAACACCCAGTTTCTAAAAAAACAAGTTTCTTAAAAAAAAGTATAAAAAACTACTTTACGCTCTCGCGAACGCGAACGGTTACGTCTATCGCGGCTACCACTTCGATCTCGTCTCTTAGGTGATGGTGATGGTCGCCGTTTTGGAGATGGCGATGAACGTCGTCGACGACGCTCAGGAGTCGGTGATCGACGAGAGGATGCGATAACCGCCTTTTCACTACGCTCTGCTCGCGCACCAGGTCGAGGTGAACGCGAGCGACGAGCTGGACTTCGTGCTCGGTCTAAATTTAATTCTTTACCGAACAAAAAAGTGGAAGCCCTTAGCATGAAGAAAGGGAGAACTCAGTTGTGGAGGTAAAAGAAAAGCAAGCGTAAATTTTACAAATTTCACAAAATTTTACAGCACCAATCCAGAATCATTCACAAAGACGTAAGCACTAAGTTCAGATAAAAGGAATTATGTGAGACTTAGTCTAGGCTTTAGTCTGACATCTGGTCTAGGCGTAGAATTAAACTACTTGGGGTAAGAACAAATCGTGCCATGTTTGATTACAGTGAGAAAACAAAAAAATGTTTACAGCAATCTCTGAGGCAAAATTCTTCACGATTAAAATAATCACTAGTACCAGAGTTAGAAAAACATGAATACCTTTGGTTGCTTTTCTGGGAGTAGGCGATCTAGAAGATTCCGAACTCGTCGTCGTGCCAGAGCGTGAAGTCGAAGAAGAATCGCTGAACGATGAACTTTCAGAAGAGTCAGACGAACTATCCGACGAAGAACTACTGCTCGACTCACGTCGCCTCTTTACTTCCTTTTTATTTTCTCTCTCGGCTGGCTTTCCTTCAACCATTTCGAATCAAACCTAAAACATTTACTGATTATCCATTTCACTATTTAAGCAGAAAGTCATCATACGAACTTTAATTGGCAACAGTACACAATTCAATTTTGTTAAAATATATTGCAGTTACATATCCCACACAATTTGCAGTACCATCCTCTGCCACACTATCTTCTCCAATTCATTCCAGTGATATTGATTACACTAAAAGATACTGATTACATCAACAAACTTTCCAATTTTAAATATTTTATAATGTAATTAAAAAGTCTGAAATAGAAAAAATGTAAAGATTGCAAGTTCAGAGTGTTACTTGTAATAATAAACAAAGCTCAAGTCACATGTTAATTTTCAGAGCTAAGCAAGCAAAAAGTTTAATGAGTGGTGGAATTCACTATTTCTCATTAAATCGAATATTTTGTTCAAACAAACAGTAAATTAAGCCTAGAAACAATAGGTACTACAGAGCCTAGAACGAACTCTCAAGATCTCTAAGTTAATCAATGATAAATGTCCGGCTCGAAGTTGGAGAGATCACTGAAATAACCAGTGCCGCTGTGAAATTTTTCGTCTCTTTGGATGACCACAGCTATCAAGTCGTAATTTCAATCGAAATACAATCGCAATTTAAAGTTAGGAAAAATAAAAATTTGAAGACAGGAGTTAACGTTAATAATGCTAATACTTCGGTTGTATATTTCCTTTCTAAATTAACAATTTTGTTTTTTTTGTTGCTGTTATCAAAATTGGGAAACAAATGATTTAGATTTTTTATTCGCTAAGTTCAAAGATGAATATTGCTGTAAGGAGAACAATGCAGTAAGAGTTTTCTATGTGTATTCATTGATATGTGACGTTATCAGTGATAAACTTTCTCTGTACTTTCATTCATTGTTGTATTGTTCATATTTTAAGTATCATTTATATTTTCCGGAAAATAAAATTGGATGAGATGAGCAAGCTTTCACTTCTTTTCTTTTCTGCAAATTTTTTATAAAGGAATTTTTGAAATTTTAGAAGACTGACGAATACTTGATGACTTCTGGCGTGTAATTCAGCTAATGACAGATTATGCGGAAATTTCGAACAATTAAAACGGATGATTTTTGAGTAATTTTTTTTTCATACTGATTCAATCAATTTTGAGCAATTGCAAAAATCAAAAAGGTTGTAATTGAGAGTGTTTTACAAGAATTAGTTGATGAATGTTAAGAGAATCTCAATCACTGTTTTCTTTCAGTTGAAATAAATTAAAATAGTCTGTGTGGTGATATCGGTCCGGTTAAAATTATCTCAAATCTTACTGCAACATTTCTTATTCCGACAAATTTCCTACAACTGCAATATCAGCAGATGAAGTGGAAAGAGTGATGTGTGCTTCAGGGCAGGACAGCTGTCTGCACACTTCTTATACAATTAATATTGTTTCGTCCTTTTTAAATCTTTCTCTTTCAACATGACCTCTTGCCAAAATTTTATTGTTTCAGCTCTGTGTATGTGTGTGTGTGTGTGTGTGTGTGTGTGTGTGTGTGTGTGTGTGTGTGTGTTATTTATCTGGACAATGTCAAATATGATTATTACATTCTTAAAGTATTTCTCGAATCTTTTATCAGAAATAACCGTTCTCCGTCATATGAAAGAAATTAGTGATGCAATTGAAACAGACAATATTCATCAGATTTCAACTTCTGTCTACCTTTTCATAAATTTCATCAAAAGTGAACGAAATCACTTCTCACAACTCCT